TTGATAACATCTCAATCAAAATGTAAATGTCAGAAAAATGACGGCTAGCACTGAAAGCTTGATCATCCATCATGTGCAACCTTTCAGAAGTAGCTCCATTTTCGCCAAGCAAAAAGAGTCCACATGGCAATGTCGAGCAATTATCACCAAAATCATCATCACAATCTATATCTCTAAGTGTGGTTTCTGCAACATCACCCCAACTATTAACAGTTTTACTCAAAAAGTCAAGCACACAAGCAGAAACATCCACACCCAAATCTTTTAGCCTAACACGAACAGCTCTGACCTACAGAAGAGGAAAAAGAATTTCTTAAGATTAGCAAGGTGTGCACATAAATAGGCAAGAAACATAAGCTCATATAAAAAAATCCATACTGCTTCAGGAAGATGTTGGCATTGGGAAGCTGCTTTAAAAATAAAATCAATGGTTGCAGCAAGAGGTTCGTCGTTTGCATCTCTCAAAAGCCCAAAAGATTGAAATAAGATGCGTTCCCACACCTCACTGCCACATTCCAGTTGAGTAAGAGCACCAAATACCTGAGAACATAATATATATTCTAGTAAAGAGATGAAGGATGAAGCATGAATTCACTATAGAAGGAAATATAAGCAGCACATTTTATGAGCTTTGGATAATTGTTCCAACAGCATCATACTCTCTTTAAATTCTAAACAGATCCCTGAAAAATAGACTTTAACAAGGCCCTCTGTAGAGTAAAATAAATGAATGGATTCCAAGAGATTATCTTACAGGTATTCGTAGTGCAGGTTCAGCATCTGGCTTCTGAAGTCTTTCTAGAAGTGCATAAGCAGCCAGAGGATGCTCTGAATGCTCAACCAACTTGGGTACTAAAGTAACTAGATCCGGTTGCAAATGCTTAGGAGCTTTATCTAATACGAGCGCAATTTTTTGAGCAGATTGAGGCCGTCTTCTTGGCTCAGGACAGCCTTGTGGAACAGCTCCATCAAGAGCTCTCAGTGAGTTTATTATTAATCCTAAAAGTTCCTCAGATTGCTCAGGCCACTTTGTCTGACAATTCAATTTGTTCGCACAGTTCAGAAAATGAAAAAGTTAAGTTCAACATTTATACAACATCAACTCACATTTCATACCTTAGAGCGAACTGAAGCACTTTCAAATGTACCCCCAGCATTTGTTTCTGGTGGACAAATAGGCTGTCCAGGAACAGCTTTTTCTGCAATATCAACCCCATTCATATCAGAACTTTGGACAGCAGGTGCACTGGTACCATCATCTACACCAGAGTCCAATCTCTCATACAAAGGATAATGAGCAGATTCTGTTGCTCCACTGTCCCTATCAGATTCCACTGGACTAGCAGCTCCACTGCCATCAGTAGTAGTTTTTGAGTTTCTTTCAGAAGATTCACCATGAGAAGCTCCTTCTGAAGGTTGGCAGCATTCAACCATTATATCCAAGAGTAAGTCAATAATTGCTTGCTGCAAAACTTTAACCCCCATTAGCAAATTCATCAAACTGGGGGAAGATTCATCAGCCTTCATTACCTTCTTCCCATCATTACCAGAGAGCTTTGTTGGAAGAAGCAAACGCTTTACTTTAGCAGGGTCATCAAGATAAACCCGAAGTCCAGTCAGAAAACCAGCAATCGCACCAGCATCCATCAGAAGCTTTTCTCGTAAAGTGACCTGAGGCTGGGAAGGATTATCACCATAGGAGAGGTGAAATCCAGCTCGAGACAGAAGGTTTCTAAAGATGTCTTCTTCATCTCCACTTATTCCTTCACTGTCTTCAGAATCAATGAGTTCATCACGATCAGTTGTTAGAGCATCCTGATCATCCTCAGAAGCTAAAACCTGATAGAATGAAGACCACAGATGGGCAAACACTTAAACATATTACAGCTACAGATAAGGAGAATAATGAAACCAAAATCCAACTAATGACTCTAAATGTCCATACCAGATTAATTAGAACCACTGACCTATAAGTCCGAAAATTCAAACCATGGGCAGCAATCCAATATTTCACAAACAAAAACAACCGTGTCACGGACAAGAAACCCTGCATCAGCTTCCAACATATCTGACACCTTCATGAATTGCAAAACAGAATTATTCCATGTCTTTGTACAAATAGAAGACTCCTTCCATACAGTTTTGGCTGGGTTCTTCTGATTCACCACAGCCATTCTGTACCTGACCCAGAAGTTCTTGTCTGGGTCACTACCAACAGACTGATCACTTTCTAAGTATATACATATGGTGTCAAAAGACTCATATACACCTGCATCATGACAAATCGAACCATCAATCAACCCAAGCAACTCAAAAAACAATAACCACATGCTCAATGCATAAAGATAAGGAACAAAAACCCACCAATCCGAAGCTCACATCCGCCAGCTTGGAAGAATTTGCTAAAGATTTTTCGGGTTTCCATTATTTCCTTGAAGGACAAGAAGTTCTCCACTTTCCATGTAAAAGAACTTCTTTTCCCAACCTTATCTAAATGGGAACCAACAACTGCCAAGTCAGTATCCCGATCAGTAAAATCCTGCACTACAGATGTCTCTTTCAGAATCAGAACCTCTGCAGAGAATACAACTGTGTCCTGAACAAGAAATCCAGAATCTTGATCAAAGAGACTGGTAAGTGTTACAAATTCACGCCAACCCCAATCCTTTGCCGCTTTAGAGTAGCGATTCTGAGATTCCTTCATGACAGATTTCTCCTCCATCCTTTGATTCACAACTGACAATCGATGACTCACAAAACAGCTCCAATCATTAGAAGTATTTCGCGAATCCGTGACTTCAAGAAAAACTGAAAGATGACATGGTGGCTGGGACTGCCCTGATACCATCAAGCGTGTGGGAAATTTTCATCAGTGTGCTCACATAAAGTTCAACCAAGTCACCATCAGATACGTTACATAACCACATAAGTAACAGTAGAATGTTTCTGAAAACCTACTACTCAAAGTGGCTAAGTCACAGACCTATGCGTAATCCACAGGCCAAAGTCGAAATGACTTAAAACACGAGGACGAAAAACATAATCTATCAAGAAATGCATTGAGGGGGCATATGAAAGATTGACTAACATTTTCGAGGCATGCCATGAACAAACTCCATACAAGCATAACATTGTTGCCTACAGGTATATTTTGTCCTAAGCTATGAAGCTGTCCAGATTCTCTATAGGAAAGAAGCTATCCAGAATTAAAAATGATCAACAAGAACATTATCAGTGCAATCTAAGGTAATGAAAAAATCTAACTGCCAGTTACTACATACACATCAACAACGATTTTTCATGTTATTCTGTATCTATTATTGATCGAAGCCAAACATAATCTAGAGCTATCAGCAGAGACAAATATTAACAGATTACCCAATACAGGAAATAAATAATTCTTTAGGGAGAAAGTCTTACATACCACGAGGATAAACAATGAGGCGGCAGTCCCTGTTACCAATCTGAAACCTCCTGCTCTTAATGCATAGACCAGTAATCTTCCTTTTCTTCAAAAGATCTTTCAATTTAGTGAAGTTTTCAATCCTCCAAGTGAATTTGCCCAAATGTCCATCAGATTTCCTGGCCCCACTCCCACTTCTTACACCAATCAGACCCCCATTCTTAGAGAAGCTACTGAATTCTTTAATCACATGAAATGAGGTACTAAACACAGCAGTATCATCCACTAAAAACCCGGAGTCTTGGGCAACAAAATCAGACATCTTCATATAGTCATTCCACCCCAAGCTTGTGTTATCCCCACTCTTGTTATCTGCTGCAAATCTCCCATAAGAATCTCTGTGCATGTGATTGGAACCAGGCTTCTGGTTCAATACTGACATTCTAAATAGACACCAACAACTCCTATCAGACACGACAGTCTTCTCCGTATCCTTGCTCTCCAAACACATAGACAAATACTCTTGCCCATTAACGGAGCTCTGATACACACTAATCCTCAAGTTACACTCTCCAGCAGGGAAAACCGGGCTCATTATCTTCTGCGTCTTAATCATCTCCTTAAACAAGCTAAAATTATGCACTTTCCATGTAAATTTTCCACTCAAGACATCAGATACGGGGCCCGCAACTACGGACGAAGAAATCGTCGAGGAAGATGACGATTGTATATCATTATTATCTCGCGTGAAATTAACGGATTCGTTCAAGATTAAAATATCAGCAGTTATAAGAACGGAATCGTTGTTTGACACATAACCTAATTTGGAATCGAAAACAGTAGATGAAGGCGTGAAATCGCACCATCCATGAGATTTCTTCTTGCTAGAGAAACGGTGCCACGAATCCCGATGAATAGTCTTGGAATCATCGAGCAGGTTGACGATGGCGAGACGGTAACTGGCGAAGCAGTCCCATTTTGACGACGATGTGCCCCGCGGGTCCATGATTTGGAGGTAAATGGATATGTACCCTGGCAAAGCCTGAGAGTCCCCCTTAGGGTACACCAGTAGGCGACAATCATACCCTCCCACCTCAAAGTACTTACTCCAGAGTGCCCTAGCCTTGATTCGTGGAAAATTGTGGACCGTCCATCGGCACACAGCTGAATACTCGCCCCGCCGATCGACGGTTACCGTCTCCTGCGCCCCGCCGCTGCCGTCCCTGGACCCTACCACCAAGTCCTCCGCCGCCGCGATGGAAGACATCGGTTTCTCCAACGATATCGATGCTGAGGCAATGGTGGTTGCGGTTGATGTTGACGGCCTCGATGATGAGGTGGCTATCTGTGATTGGTCCGATATAGCGGGTGTAGAGGAAGATAAGGAGACCGTCTCAGATGAGCTTTGCTTCATTGCTTGTTGGGGTTTCTCTCTCTCTCTCTCTTCCTCGTTAACTCTCTGGTTTTTATTATTATCGATCAAATTCTATGTAGAGAGAGAATGTGGGGGGAGAGAGATATGCGGGTGAAAGCCGTGAGAGGGTAGAAGGAGGCTTTGGAGTTCGGACAATAAGAGGCGCATGATAGTTAACCTGCGCACCCTGTTTTCCCTCTGTTTTTTTATGCTAGCAAGGGTTGATAGTGATAGAATACACCAATCTATATCAACGATCAGAGAGACAACTGCACGGATGCCATTGGTTAGGTAGACTAATTTCGGGCTATCAAACCATCAATGGCTCCACGTGTGCCGGGCCCCACAAGGGTTGGGACCCAGTTACCAGGGCATGCTAGCGTGATGGATCGTGCAGGGATAATACTCTGTGCCATCTTCCATCTGTTCAACAGATCCAGCTAGCCCAGGTTGATTGGTTGGATCTGCACCGTTGGATTGTTTTACTAATACGATGTGTATCCAGTCAAAACATTTTGATGAACATCGTTGGTGAGAATCTACCAATCAGAGTTTGACATTTCATGGTATCCGATTGGGTCCAGAGATACGTGTAGTATCTGGACGCTTCTCTGATGTTCATATCGGGCCCAGCAGCATAAAGAATATGGGATGCCTGACAAAAATATTTTATATAAATATATATATATATATATATACTCTCTTTTTTAAAAAAATAATAATAATGCTATTTAATTTAATTTATTTTTTCTCTATCCATATTTTTGGACCCAATGGATGACCTTATTTATCTATTAATACCAACATATTTTATAACATTATCAAACATTTTCTTAACAAATAAATTATAAGAGACGAAATGATAACAAGGTTAATGCTGTATTACAATGTTATTATATAAATATAATATGGTGATTTATAGTACCGATGTAAAACTATAGTTATTTTGTACAATTATAATACAATTTATTATTGTATTATATTTTTAATAATAAATATATGAATTGATGAATGCACAGTGCATAATAATCAGTAATAATTTATAAATTAATTATTATTTTTTATATTATCAATACGTATAATAATGTATAATATTTAATTAAAAAAAATATGCAGTCACATTTATGACGTATATTTTGTAAATTATTTCAATATAATTATAACAATTTTTTCAAATTTCTAAGGAAAAAGTGCATGATTATTTATGGCAATTAGATCAAGTAACATTATTACTAGTAATATTATAAATTGCCTGGATATCAAATTTTTAAATTATATATATATATATATTACATAATGGATGGGTGAATCTATGAACCATTTGTTGTTTTTACATTGAATGCTTGTACCATTTTTATTTAGATTTTCTTTGTAAAAAATATTTGTACTTACGAGTAAAAATATTTTATATGTGTAACATTAACATTGTTTTCCAATTAAGTGAATGTATCTAAATTAACATTACTAATTATGTTATGAATTTATAGATAGATTGTTCATAGTTTTATTTTTGCATAAAGTTTAGATATACTACTTCGTATTAACATATTTTATATAATGTGCTGTGTGTTTTAGTTTACGAAATATACAACTACATGTTAAAAATTCACCGAATTAAAATTCTATATAAAATAAAAAAATTTAACAAATTAATATTTAAAAATTAACACTTATTACAATATAATTTATAATACTTTGTTCATTATAATTTGAATCATAAATTTTTATATTTGTTTTAAATATTATTTTTTCTTAATTTTCTAACAAAAAAATTAAGATAAATATATCATATATGAATATTTTTTAAAAATAATTTTGAATAATTAATTCAATTAATAAATTAATAATAACAAAAATAATTATGACATTATTATTAATTTAGTTATTTGTTAAATTTATTACTTCCAGCTGTTTTTAAAACATTCAAATATTTTTTAATTATTTTATTAAAAATATAAAAAAAATATTTGAAAAAAATAAAAGAAATTATAGATTAAATTATAACAAAAATATAATTATCAAATTATAAAAAGTGTTAAAATTTTAAAGATTAATTTGATAATATATATTGAAATATAATTATTTTTTTTAGAAAAATAATCAATATTTTTAGCATACTCATAATATTTAAAGTTGAAAACAATTTTGTTTTGGGAACCTCTTAAATGCAATTATGAGGATTTTAATTGCAATACATGATTTATTTTGGACGCAAAATTAAATCAATATACTATGGCAAATTAATTGAATTAAACATAATTTTAAATGATGAGTTAAAAAGCATGTCCATGCTCTGAAGATTATAATTAACAATTTTGTATAGTTAGATTTTATATTCCTATATATTTTTAATAAAAATTGTGTTATAATATATATATATATAGTTTAACAAATAAAATATATTTATATTTTAATAAAAAATAAAGATTACAAGTTTATTATTAAATTAAACTAATTTTACTTTATAATATAATTATTTTAAGAAACAATTTATAACTATGCAATATAGCCATAGTTGTTATATATGATTGCTTTGGGAATGAAATTTAATTATTTTGTTATAATCAATAATGCAATTAAGTAATATTAAAACTTAAAAAAAAAATGGTTTTGAGGTAAGAAAAAACTTGGAGATTTTAAATTATTTTTTTGGTGATAATTCAGATAAAAATATTTGTAATATATATTTATAGTTATTGTTTAGCAAATCCAAATGGCAGTTTATTAATGGCGGACAACACAGACCACGTTCTTTTACCATTTCCATCTCAACGCAGCGTTTTGCTGCTTTTTCCTTTCTGGCTAAGCTTTCTTCATTTTCCATGTTGTCTCAGCTTCTTCCGTCTCGTCACCTACTTTCAGTTCCTCACTCCACTGTCTTTTCTGCAACTTATCACGGTAATGATTCGCCTATGTTCTGGCAAATCATCACTGATCAGACAAAGATAGCTCTTAATTTATCGGCCGATTCAAGGTTATGCTTTTTTTTCTCTGAATTCTCTAGGGTTTTGTCTGGTGACTGATGAATGTCTGTATATATAGATTGGTGCAAAAGAATACTGGAGAACAAGAAAGATCTTCGTATACATTCAATTCTCTAGAATAATTCACTTCGTAACTCTGGGTAACTTCAAATCTCCGGTTACAATCCGACACGGCGGCAAAATAGCTTGTTGTGTTTGATCTTCGGATTTTTCAATGGCTGCCCCATTTGTTTATTGCTACCTCTCTATATTCAGGTATCACTCTCTGTAAATACATATTTTGTTTATCTTACGTGTGAAACCCCGAATCCGTGAGCATTTTCAGGTTACCTTCTGCTTCATTCTCTTCTGGTAGTTTTACATTGCCATATTTTTTCTTCTCATCCTTCAATCTTTTGACATGCGCGTTTTGTGGACAAATATAGTACATGTACGTAGACAATCTAGACATGCAGGTGATGGATTTTGAGAGCGTTGGTCAAGAAGAATTATTTTGTGACTTCTTTGTGTAGGCAGATATACTCTTATTCATATCAAATTAATGTGAAGTGGAACTATTTGCTCTCTCTGCTATTGATTCTTGAATTAAGATTCTGCAGAAGTAGTAGTTTTTGAGCTCTAAATATAAAACTGTAAGTTGCATCATTTTCCTCAGGTAAAATGGTTTTCTATTTGGAGTCTGTCTGCTTTCAAATTTTGGGTTATAGCCAGGGCATGATGGCTCTAAATTGAGATCTATGACTAGCTCTAGTGTCCAACCCTCACGCTTCTATTAAGAAAATGTGCTTAATAAGGACAAGAATCCTGCTTGCAGCATGAGTACCCCTTTTCAAGATACTTGAACCAAAAGATTTGGTTAGTTGCTCCTTGTAAAGTTGAAAATTGTATTTGGTTCACTTATAAATAGATGTTAGGAAGAAGACATAAAGCTTTTGCAACTTCCTTCTATCAGATAATTCAGATGACTTGCTGATAGTTTTTCCTATTGTGCTAGTAGCTTTTAGTGGGATCATATATTATTTATGCATGAGGTGTTGCATGTTTCTGGTGTGCTTTTCATTATTTTCCTTCTATTTATTTTCCCACGCTATTGGGAGAGCTGAGGAGAATTTTTATTCTCTGTTTATTATGGGTTCATCTAAAACCTGCATCTCAATGAGTCTGTCTGAGCCATTAAAGGATAACAGAGTATTTAGGGAGCAAGGTTTACCAGTATGTTCCCTCATGCTGGATTCTTTTAGCGTCTTTACGTTCAGAAGGCATTTTGGCATTTTTAAGTTGTTAACTTTTGTCAGTGAACAGTTTATGTGAAGAGCCTTCCTAAATTTTTGTTAGTAATTTCAGCCACGATTGATAAGTAATTGGAAATGGCTTACTATAAGGCTGTTGGTTTATCCTGGCCTCTGGATTTTAGCTCTGGAGAGATTCTCAGCCAAGACTATTCTTACCTGATGTACTATTTGAACAAACAAAATCATTCTTGATTGCAATCTATTTTTTGCAATTGGAATATTTTTGGTGCTGAAAGAGCTGCTAGTAATTGTTTCTTTATCATGACAGTTTTCTGTCCAGTATAAGGTTTTAAGACAATTTTGTTTTGAACATTTATTTCATTCAGATGTGCAATCTTGACCTGTAACTTGGTTAATCAGTTTTGATATTTCACTACTCAAAAGGCCAAGTTGTACTCATTCATTGTAGCTTGAGCCATTCTGGGTGATATAGGCACATTAATATATAACTGATAATACTCATTGGTAATTTTTTCTCTTGTAAAGAATTGTTTTTTGTTAAAAATTTGCAATTATATTGGAAAACAATCAATTTATTTTAAAATAGAAAGTGATTTGTTAGATTCCAACACAAACTTAATCTAGCTTTATTATTTTGGAAATATTATACACCATTTGAGCAAGTGCACAAGCATGGGATCCATATAATTTTATCAGAAGAAACTAAAAGAAAGCTCTCACTACAAATGCCAATACTGCATCCAATTACAAAATGTTTTTAGATAGGTTATTAAAGTGTTTTTGGGGGAAATGCAGTTTCCTTCAGAAATTTGAATTTTGTAAGTATGGGGCTGTTCCCTGTGTGATTAATACTATTTATTTTTCCCCATTTTTCTAAGGAGCGAGAGAGGACAAGGTCACCCAAAATGAGAAACCCATGTATATAGTGGCATTTGGACCATTATGGTGTTACTAAATGACCAATCTGAATTACCACTATCAAGTTAATGATATTAGTTCTACCCAGACCTAAACTAGAAAGGTTAGATGCTCAATGCATGGTATCTTATTGACTGTTTATTGGATGAAACTTATTTTAAATTCCATAATGTTTATTGAATGTAAGAACTTACGACAGATTCAATAGATTTACTATATTTTCTTCAATGCATTACCTACTATGGGCATTCATGAATGTGATATGCTGGGGCTAGGTCTTAAGGCCTGGAAATGAGGCTGGAACTTACATTTTGTTCAGTAAGAAGGTGATGCAAGCTTGCTGAAAAGGTGTAAATGGTTCAAGATGGCGGTGTGCTTATTAATTCAATATTCCAAGGTTTCTGAGGCTTTCAAGTTACGTGGTCGTAATTTGATGGAGAAGCCAATGAGATCAAATCTTCAATCTAATAACATGATCAGCAGAGACACAGATTGATCTTAAGGTACTGCAACTAGTCACTGGATACTTCATTCTAATTCTCCCATATTATTTCTTCTATTTTGGTCTTTTTGAAGTTCATATTTCAACTTGGAGAGTAGCATAATCTGTTGCATAGGCAAACTCTTTGACATCAAGTCAACTCAGCCATGAAATTCAAACCTGTTCTTCTTATGGCAGGTTCAGTGCACAATTTGGAATCCCGGATTTTTCTGATAGACCATAGTTATTGTACTTTGTCAAAATTTGACAGATCAAATTGTCTTTGTTCTCCTGTCCTTAGAAAGTGCATTATGGTGAAATGTTATGTTTATCATTGTTGAAATCTTTATTCTCCTGTTTATCTTTTCAGATGGAAGAAGTTTGTCTCAACAGTGAGCCAGTGTTTGATGACGGGGATGAATTTGGGGTTGATGGAACCTGTAGTTTGGTGGAACATGAGGATGAAACTGGTAGAACACAATCAAAGAAGAAACCCATGCAACCTGCTGTTGGTTTGGAGTTTGATTCATTTGATGAAGCTTATGATTTCTACAATAGTTATGCTAAGGAGCAAGGATTTGGTATCAGAGTAAGCAATTCATGGTTTAGATCAAAGCGAAAAGAGCGGTACAGAGCAAAACTTAGCTGCAGTAGTGCAGGTTTCAAGAAGAAGAGTGAAGCAAATAATCCAAGACCAGAAACGAGAACTGGTTGTCCTGCAATGATAATCATTAGACTTGTTGACTCCAAAAGGTGGAGAATAGTTGAAGTTGAGCTTGAGCACAATCATACAGTGAGTCCACAAATCAAACGGTTTTACAAGTCTCATAAGAAAATGATTCTTGCAGCCCGAAAGGCACAACCACCACCAGAGCCTGTGACTGAAGTACATACTATAAAGCTATACCGTACAGCCATTATGGATTCTGGGTGTAATAGATACTCAAATTTTGATGGAGAGAAAATAAACCCCGTTGACCACTCTAGACACTTGGAACTCAAAGAAGGAGATGCTCATGCTCTTTACAACTACTTTTGCCGCATGAAGTTGACCAATCCCAACTTCTTTTACTTGATGGATATTGATAATGACGGGCGCCTGAAGAATGTGTTCTGGGTCGATGCTAGGTCTAGGGCTGCATATGGTTACTTTTGTGATGCAGTTGCAATTGACACAACATGTTTGGCAAACAAATTCGAGATTCCTCTAATTTCCTTTTTTGGAGTAAATCACCATGGACAATATGTATTATTAGGTTGTGCCTTCCTTGGGCATGAGGCAGTTGAGTATTTTGTCTGGATTTTCAAAGCATGGCTTCAGAGCATGCGAGGGCAGCCTCCACAAGTTGTTATTACAGATCAATGCAAACGTTTGCAAAGTGCTGTCTCTGAGGTTTTCCCGAAAGCTCAACATTGTTATTGTGTGTGGTATATCATGCAGAGAGTCCCGGAAAAGTTGGGAGGATTGAAGGGTTACGAAGCAATCAAAATGCAATTGAATAAAGCAGTGTACAATTCCTTGAAGATTGCCGAGTTTGAAACTTCTTGGGCTGAAATGATCAAGCAGCATGAACTAGGGGATAATAAGTGGCTTCATTCCCTGTATGAAGACCGGCAACATTGGGTGCCAGTTTACCTAAAAGACACATTTTTTGCAGGAATGATCCCTCTTCAAGAAAATGAGAGCTTCAATCCTTTTTTTGATGGTTATGTACATAAAAACACATCTTTTAAGGAATTTGTCGATAAGTATGACCTAGCTCTTCACAGGAAGCACATGAAAGAAGCCATGGCAGATTTGAAGTCAAGAAACTCTTCGTTGGAGTTGAAAACAAGATGTAACTTCGAGCTGCAGATAGCAAAATTGTATACAAAAGATATATTTTTGAAGTTTCAATCTGAAGTGGAGGGAATGTTCTCTTGTTTCTACACAAGGCAGGTAAGTGCCAACGGGCCCATAATAACATATATGGTGAAAGAACGGGTCGAAGTCAAGGGAGATGAGAAGGAAGTAAGGAATTTCGAGGTTCTGTACGAGACAAGCCAAGGAGATATTCGATGCATTTGCAGTTTGTTCAATTACAAAGGCTACCTATGCAGACATGCATTAAATGTCCTTAATTACAATGGAATTGAAGAAATCCCCTCTCGCTATATTTTGCCACGTTGGTGTAACAATTACAAGTGCAGGTATCCTCCTCTTGACAATGGCTGGAATAACATTGATGTATTTAACCCGGTTTACTGGTGTAATCATCTGTACAAATGTGCCATTCCAATTGTGGAAGAAGGAGCAAAATCTCAAGAACATTACAAGTCGACATTGCATGAATTAGAAAGGTTGTTGAACACATTTAATCTTGCTGAAGACAACCTAGTGTAACAGAGAATCTGAAGATGCCAAAATGGTGTCTTATAATCTATGACAAATATAAAATGCTCGTTTCTTACCTCTTCCTTCTCACACGCGTCTGCCAAAATATATGCTCATATGAACTCACTAATAAAGAGACAAACTAATCTGGAATCCTCGGATGATTTGTGGTATAGGTATCGATGGAATATATTTTTGAATGTCTTAAAATGGACGGAGAAAGTGTTTTTTGAGTTATACCAACTATAACCTTCACACAAGATAATTATTTTTATTTTCCTTGATCAAGATTTTCTCCATCAAGTTGCCAATTACAGATTTGGTGGTGAAATTATCTTTTTACTTTGACGAATATATGATCTGGATGACACTTGGGCAAATTTCTGTTCATAATTATAGACTATAATATAAGAATAATACCTGAACTCCAACTTCATTAGATATTGATACTTAATAAGAAAGTTTCTAAAAATTATAATCACAAGTATAATAACAACTAATATTGCAAGTTCATATTTAAAAGGGTTAGAATACTATCCCTTTATACTACGCCAACCAGTGCACTTGAAAACCTAAAGCAGTTTGCTCCAATTTGTCAAAATTCATGAGTGGGGAAAAAGAATGCAATGAAGACAACAGCTAAAAAGGACTTGATTAGCATACGCCAAAAGATCACATACTTCTTATAAACATCAACTCATCATCAAGTTGCACCTTCAAAACTAGGTAACATCAAACTGTTGAAGTCTCCATGATAGAGAATAATACAAATGCACAGCAAAACCAGAAACATATTTGAACTTCACATTTCATGGACAAAATAGTGATTCCAGTTCACGATAGAGGGAGTTATAATCTTAAAATACGAAATAACTGGAAACAAAAAAAAGAAACAAAGACATTCAAATCTCACTCCATAAATTGCCATCACTTAAGACAGGAAGGTAGTGTAATCCCATGGCATACAAAAGCCAGCACAATGTAGACAACCACCACGAGCAACAGTATCAGAGCAACCCTGCAAGATGGAATGGGCTAGTGAGCACCAAAAAATCAACTCCATTAAGCTATGTTTATAACAAATGAACTTTGTTTGTATAATTCATTTAAAAATCAATATGTGTTTTAGTCACAAAAGAGTAGAAACACGTCATAAAACCACAAAAATTAAGCTACCGGTTAATTCCCATTGAAATTGTAATAATACATTTCAAGTTTCACAAAATTTTGATGGAATTTGAAATGATGTTTCTTGACTCTTATTATTTTCTAAGAGATTTCTATTGTTTCATAGTAAAACTTAGTGTGGATTTGTAAAAGAATTCCAAAATAAAATCGATTTATTCCAAATATAGCTTTAATGAATAGTTTCTTTAGTTTATAGCACTCATGCAAACTAGATGAAGACGGAAATTAAGAATATAATAGCATCTGTCATGCTTTTGACACTTATTTTTATGAAGATTTTAACAGAGAGAGCATACATGAGCTTGACATTTCGCCACCATACTGTGTTTCTGAAACGACGAGCTTGCTTTCTGAATCGAAACGTATTTCCTTGCATATTAGCAGTTTTATCAACCAGCAATTCCAGGCGATCACCTCTCTCTAATACTTTGTCAATATTCTCTATCATGACATTTCGGACCTATTAACAGCGAGCATTTAGTTGATCCAAGATCAATCTAGAAGAAAACAAAATTTCCAGCAAAAAATCTTGGCTACACTTTTTCACAGAATATATATATATACACAGAATATAAAATTGACGAGCTAGAACTAATTGATATAGATTAATGTTAAGGAATTTACATCATATTAATTATTAAAGCAGAAAGATTCATTTTCATGCTTTCCTTAATCCTAGTCATAAGCAGTTAACAAACTTGAATTGACAGAGATGAAGGAAATGATTCTAAGGGGCATTAGATTATACGTGATGACTGGATAAAGTACGCAAAACCTACCTGACTCATTTCACCCTTTAGTCGATTTATCCTATCTGCATTTGGATCATTGGAATAATATTCCATTTGTTGGCTTAAAACTCTTGAAAATTCATCATTCATGGCATAAGCATGGGCAGAATGAACTGCACGGGCATATGTCCTCACAAATCTCTGGTGAATATCTTCCAGAAATGCAAATGGAATTCTCCCTGAATAGAACATTAAACATATGCAAATAACATTTTAGGGACTACTATATATTGCATACAAGGTAAGAAAGAGGATTATATGAATTAGTATCATTATATAACATGGACAGTAACACAGAAAAAATACTTAACAGTTTCCAGCAATATCCACTCATCATGCAAACAAATATCAGAAGGATAAAGAAATTTCCGAGAATAATCCAATTTGGAAATTTACAAGTGCAAAAATGAAATGTTTCAATAAGATGTGACAAGTAGGAAAAAAGCACCAGCTTTTCAGTTAGGATCAACAAAGCAAAACCTACCATTGCAAAAATTTATATCACCATGAACTAAAAAGCCATTGATCCAATAAAATCTTTGAACAACATGAAAAACAACGATAAAAAGATTTCCACCATCGTCCCTTCAGTCACCAACAACAACCAGAAATACAAGAAAGCAAAAGATTTCTTAGGAAAGGAGC